CGGCTTTCACTGAGATTGCTCCATCAAGGTTGCCCTGACGTCCTTGCTGTGGACACGTCTCTGTCCTCAGCTTACTCAGCCTTCACGGGGAACTCCCTCTCCTAGGTCTGGAAACACCCTCTGCCCCCGGCTTCCTCACCTCGGCCCTCCTCTTCCTCTGACAGCTTCTGCTAATTCTACTGCACTCTCTCTTCTTCTCTGCCCAACTTCTGCCGAGGAGAGTCCAAGGACTCTGTCTTCCTCCCACTTTTCCAGTCTGAGCTGGAAACCAGCCTAGCTCACGCTGTCTCTATGGGTCCAAGCTGTCCCCCAGGCTGCCCAGACTCCCAGGACCGGAACAGTAGAGAAACTGCCCACCAGGCTAGGAACCCAGAAGTCCTCCTCAATTCCTCCTCTCTCACCCATCTCATCTGACCCTACAGCAAGTTCAGTCACTCCCACCTTCAGAAGAGTCTCCAGCACGCCCTCTTCTCAGGATCTCCATGGCCCCCAGACTCATTCAAGCCTGAGCATCTCTAGCCTGGGCCACACCATCGCCTCCTCCTTGGCACCCCCTGATTCCACTCTTATCTTGTAGTCATCAGTTCTCTAAAGAGCAGGCGGAGTGGGGTTTTGCACCTGTGAATCAGATTATTTCACTGCCACGTTGAGATCTCTTTAGTGCTCAGAAGACAATTCAAGCTCCCTACTTCAGCCTGAGGGGCCTGGGTGATGGGCCGTGCACACCACCTACCAGCCTCATCTTGTTCCTCTGCCCCTGTCTTCACTATAGCATGGCCACTCTGGACTTCCTTCTGTGTCTCAAACAGACTCATTTGTGCCGAGTTCAGGGCTGCTGCTCATGCTGGTCTGGCTTCCTGGGACACCCTACCCTGGGTTCCAGGGCTCGCTGCCTCCTGCTCATCCTTCAGTCTCAGATCAAATGCCACCTCCTTTCTGACACTCTCAGCAATCACAACACTCGAGGTCCCAAGTCATGGGCACAGTTTCATAGACTTTCACATGGTAGAATGAATATATATAGTTTGTTTGCTTGTTTGTCTCTTTTCCCATTAGCTTGGAGACTTTGCAAGAGTAGAACATTTGGCTCAACCCTGACGCTCAGCGTCTAGCACAGAGCCTGGCACATAGGAGATAATCACCAAACATTTGTGGAATGAATGAGAACACCAAATAGGAACACCTTCCTCTGCTTGCGACAACACACTTCCGTGTGGCCCTGAATCTTATCTCCCACAAGCTTCAGCATGCCATGACAGCACCACCTTCTTCCACACAGTCCTGTGAGCAATGCTCCAGCAGGCCTCAAGAAGCCCAACATGCTCATGACAAGACCCAGCATGGACCATATTAGGTCTGCCCTGAATCTCAGACACTGCTGCGAGCTCTGGGCCTGCCCAGCTGACCACAGGGGTTCCCAAGGGACTTCCCAGCCCTAGATGCGGTGCCATTTGGGATCCATACATCCGAGCTCCCAGGCCTCAAGTAGTGGGTCCTCAGCCACAGACCTGGGTTGAGCAGAGCACAATGGGTCATTGTCTCCCCAGGAGGCCCCGCTCAACCTGCAGAGGAGAATGGCCCCTACTGAGCGCCCTGAGCAGCTGGGGAACTGGAAAAGGGAGCGGGTAGTGCCGGATTCCAGGGAGAAGAGAGGAGGCCCGGGCCTCTGTTCTGCTGTGTGACCTTAGGTGGGTCACTACCTCTTTTCAGCCTCACCTCCCTTTGCAGAAGGGCCTCCCGGGTGGCGTAGTGGTAAAGAATCTGCCTGCCAATGCAGGAGGCACAAGAGATGTAGGTTTGATCCCTGGGTTGGAGTAGGAAATGGCAACCCACTCCAGTATTCTGGCCTGCAAAATCCCATGGACAGAGGAGCCTGGTGGGCTTCAGTTTCATGGGGTCACAAAAGGGTGGGACAGGAGTGAGCATGCACACACACACACACATACACACACACAGCCTTTGTAGAAAGAAAAGAGCATCTAAGAACCTCTAGGGAGTATCAAGGTATAGATGGGAAACCAAGGCCCCGAGAGGGGCAGGGTCTGCCAGGGTGACAAGTGAGAAAGGACAGAATCACTGTGGAGCCCCAGGCCACCTGCCTCCCGGGAGGCCGAAGGGCTCAGAGGGCAAAGCCTGCGGCCATCTCCTCACCTGTTGCTCTGCCCTAGGCCCTTGGACAAGAATAAAGGCAGAGAGCGAGTCAGCAGGAAGGAGAGGAGCTGTGGAAAAGGAAAGTGGGGTTCCAGCCCTCCCCCGAGCCCTGCCCTTTTCCTCTCCTCCCTGGCCAAGGAACCAAATGAGTCACAAGATTCCACTGGGGCGGGCTCGGTGCCAAGCTCAGTGATGACGAGGGACCTCGCAGCCATGCTCTTGGCTCCGTTCTCTTTCCTGCGTTCCTGTCTCCTGTGCATGGGCAGACAGGCAGGCAAGAACAGGCAGACAGCTAAAACTCCTGAACAGACACAAACAGACACCTACCCAGATACACAGACACCTCGTAGACAGGCAGACACAGACAGGGACAGTCACACAGCTATACACACCAACACACAAGACAACCAGCACACAGATACAAGCAAACAGTACACTGACACACGGACAGACCCGTGACCACACATCCAGACATGCAGGCACATGACAGATAGGTAACGGAGATACAAGCAGACTCATACACACACCAACAGAAACACCTCTCAAACCCAGATACGCACATGACAGGGACTCGCATAGAGGGCCTGCAGGGGGTGACCTGGGGCAAAGGACAGGCCAGATGCCCCTGGGCCAGCCCTGCCCCAGAACCACACTGAAACGGATTCATGAAAGTGGATTCTCTGGGCACGAGCTCTTCTGAAGGCAGCCTGCATCTCCTTCCCAGTACGAGGGGCCCGCTTTGCAGTAAGACAAGTGGAGTTTAGACATAGAAAGGGACTTCCCTACAGGGAGGGTGTTGAGGCCTGAAGCGGGTGACTAAGGATGGCTGGGGGAAGGGAGTGGAGTGTTGGCAGGTAGGGAGCCTGCCTTATGGCTGTGTGACCTCGGGCAAGTCTGTTCTGAGCCTCGAAGGTCTCATCTGGTTCTGTCCTCCTGGGTCCCTGCAAGGAGCAGATGGCCAGCTCCTGTGAGTGTTTGCGCCAATGCTGGGGCTCTAGGACCTTACTCCTCCAACCCCCACACCCCTACTCAGGGCAGGATTCCCTTCTTGACTCCCTGCCCAGTACCCCCTGGCAGGGGGTAACTCAGTCAACTCAGTCACAGATGCCCGTTGTCTGGGTCCCTCCCCTCCCCCAGGGGCCAGCCAGCTGAGATGCCCCAAGTCTGGAGGAGGGCGGCAGGGAGGTCAGAGCAAGGGCAAAGGGAATTCCCAGTGCTTGCATTTTCCATCCAGGGGAGTCTGCGACGCTCAGGCCCAGGATAGGGGGGTGGTCTGTCCAGGTGGAGTCTCTTTCATCCTCCCGCTGTTAAGAGTCCTCTGGCCCGGGGCCCAACCTTCGGAAGACAGGGCATTGCGCAATGGGGAGGTAAAAGGTGATGGCGGGCCTGGCGGGACAGAAGCCCCATTGTTTGGGGCCCAGGCCAGCCTGGGCAAAGGAAGGGTTTAAGCCTGGGGCAGGAAGGGGGGAGCCTCTGCAGGGGGTGCCAGCTGGCAGGGCTCTTGCCTTGGGACCCTGGAGGGGCGCAGGTGCCGAGCAGGATCACCCCCACCCTACCCAGGGGGTGGATTTGATAGAAGGGGCAGTGTTTGGTGAGATGCTGGGCTGATGGGGAGGGCAAGAGGCAGCCCCCCCAAACCACACCCACTCCATCCTCCCCGAAATCCCCCGGGGAGGATGAGTCTCCCAAGGCATCTGCAGGGTCCTAAACTATCCTCCTCCAGATTCCACTCATTCCTGGAAACCGAGACGACTTGGGGCAGCTCCAAGGCTTGGGAGGAGGGGGGCGGTGCCCAGTGAAGAGGGGTGCGCAAGACTGGATTTATTACTGAGGGGTCGCAGGGGGGCTTAGTCATTTTTGCCGCCCACACTCTCCGCATCATTTCTCTAACTTAGGTCCCAGACTCGGAACTCCACTGCCCCTAATCTTCCTTTGTCGGAGCAAGCCCCTCGGCCCCACCGCGAAGCCCACCGGGCAGTCCTTCCCAGGGTCAGCAGACCACTAAGCGTTTCTGCCTCGGTTGGAGTTGGCCCCCTAAGGGAACGGCTTCCACGGGAGACCCAGCAAGGTCAGTCACGTGCTCACCATCCCTTTGCCCAAGTCCCGGCTTCAGGGGTTACGGCGGGGCGATTCCAGGTGCGAACCCGCCGGGGCCCCTCCCTTCCTCCGCCGGCCGGGGCGGCGCGCCCCGCGGGGCGGTACAAAAAGCGATCCCGCCCCGCTTTCCTCACTTGACTTTGAGTGTCCCGCGGCGGTCGCGGGGAGCGGGGAGGCGGAGGCGAGAGAGGCAGCGGGGCTCAGCCCACACCCTTCATCAGGTAGGGCCTCTCCCCCGGCTCGGAGGGGGAGAGAGAGTTGTAGGCAGAAGGAGCAGAGAGGAGGACCGGCAGGCGGAGGGGCCGAGACAGGTGGCAGAGAGGGAGAGTAGAAGCGGGCAGAGGGGGCACAGCGCGAGGGACACGTGAGGGCACGAAGTCAGGGACCCCCACCAAGGGCCGAGGCTGGGCAGGGATCCAGGACCGAAGGAGACGAGGGGTTCGAGGCCTGGGTGTGGCCTTGGAGGGGCACCAAGAATGCCAGCGTCCCCACCTCCCATTCCCTGAGGGTCCCCTGGCAGATCAGAGAGGAGCGCCACTTCTTGCCCAAGCCCCCCTCCCCGCCCTGTAAGCCAGGGCACATAGACTGTGGCTCCTTGCCCCTGTCCTGCAGGAGTCAGGGTCCCTGTTGGATCCCCGCAGACTCGCAGCCCCGGGAAGCAGGGGAGAGCAGTCCCCAGGGGTGCCAGGGAATCTCTGCTGCCTGCCACTTCTGACCCCTGACCTCTGCCCTCCCTGGGCCCAGGAGGCACCATGTGGCGCCGTCCACCGGGGCTGCTGCTCCTGCTGTTGCTGCTGCTGGCCGGCGAGTTGGGCGTGGGCGCCCGGCGGGGTCGTAGGCGCCGGGAGCTAGCACCTGCTCTGCACCAGCGCGGCATCCGGGACGCGGCGGGCCGGTACTGCCAGGAGCGGGACCTCTGTTGCCGCGGCCGCGCGGATGACTGCGCCCTGCCCTACCTGGGTGTCACCTGTTACTGTGACCTCTTCTGCAACCGCACCGTCTCCGACTGCTGCCCTGACTTCTGGGATTTCTGCCTCGGCGTGCCACCCCCCTTCCCCCCCATCCAAGGTGGGCACCAGACGGCCAGGGGTGGGTCGCGTTGTCAAGCCCCAAACTCAGCAAGGCTCAGGAGCAAGGCTGATGCATTGATGTTTCCAGGGGAGGCTCCCTAGCATCTGGAAAGAGACCCCGCCCCTCTCTCTTTACTTCTGCGAGTACTCACTTTGGTATAACTTGAATCTTTCCAGTAAGATTGAAAAAGCGCCTCAGTCAGTGGGATGTTCATTTGGCCCAGGAGAAGGGCAGCCACCTGCCCTTTCTCCTAGTCCTTCCGGTCTCCGTATTCCGGGCTGAGAAGGTGTTGGCCCCACCTGCTGACTCACTCTCAGACTGATAAACCACACAAGCGTTGGTCAGAGTCATTTTAGCAGTTCCTCTGCTTTTGCTCAGGATTTCTTATCCCTGAAATGGCTGGTCACACCTGGGAGGTGGGTCAAGTCTGTTCCTACCTTCAGCCCTTACCACCATCCACCCATCCCAATCCAAGAGGAGAATCACTTGACTCCCTTCCCATAATTCCATGGGGCTGCAGGTGTGAGACTGCATACCTGGGTTGTCAAGGGAGTTGACTGCATACCTGTTATCTCAAGGAAGTCATGTACCTTCTTTGGGCTTTGGCTCTCCCATATTCGTCCCACTCCCCATCTCCAAACCCCAGCTCATTTAACTGGCCTAGGATCTAAGGAATGTTGTGGCTGGCATCCAAGTGAAGCAAGAGGGATTTGGGTTAGAGTCAGTGAAGAACTTCCAAGTAGTGGGAAGTTGATCTGTGACTCTCAGGAGATGTCTTAAGTTATAGCTTGGCTTTGCTTTCAGTGAGGGCTGGTGTGTGTGTGTGTCTGGGAGGATTCAGGACACCAGACCTCTGAGGATCTGGCCATCTCAGCCCATCGTCCCTGGTCTTGGTTCCACTTCTCTTCCTGTCTTCCCTCCCACCAGGATGTATGCACAAGGGTCGCATCTATCCAGTCTTGGGAACCTACTGGGACAACTGTAACCGTTGGTGAGTATTTGGGACTTGGAGGGGGCTTGCCTGATGGGTTTTGTGGCAACAGACTTGTTTCACATCCTATCCCTGTCACTTATTTGCTGGGCGCAAGGCCTCAGTTTCCTCATCTGTAAAATGGGAATTTTTACCTGGCCCACATCAGCTTCTACACCAGCATTCCAACAGCAGTGCCCAGGAGTAGTCAACCCTGGATGCCTGGCTTCAGGTGCAGCTCCTCCTGCCTGGGATGGGGCTACTTCCCCTCCCAGCCTTTCTCGCTGTCACGGGAGAGTCCAAGAAGGGGGCGCCAGGAAGGAAACCTCTGACTGCAGCATCCGCTGACCTGGACCGGATGAGGGTCAGGGATGGCTGAACTGGCAGCCAGCCAGAGTGTAGCAGGGCCTTCCCTGGAATGTGGCCCCTCCTCCCTCCCCCACCCCTCCCCACACTTCCCAGCAAGAAGATGAAGGGGTTGGGGTATGCCACTACCCTAATCGAAGGCCCGAGATACAAGGGGGGAAGCCTTGAATGCTTTAATGAAAATAAGGGGGGACCCTAAGACTTAGAGCAGGAGGCCCTGCACCCACTCCACCCCCTGCTCTGGGACTAAGAGGGCCTCTGGGGGGAGGAAACTTTTAGGAATGCATGATGTATAAGTGGTTTCCATTGCCTCACTGGTGTGAGGGGTGCCTGGGTCACAGTGAGAGTGAGGATTTATGCATTTCAGCATGTGTCAGTGTGAGAGTGCATGTGCACTCACGTGTGCATGTTTTGAATGTGTGTGACCCGTGTGTGTTTCAAAAGATGGAGCACACCTGCATGATTCTGCTGGTACTGATAGGATGGACATGAAGGGGTTAATGCTCTGTCCCTTCTCTTGGGCCTGGCCACCCAGGCCCCCTTTGGAATGCTGGGACCTGCTGCCACCAGCTCTGCCTAGACCTGCTCAGACAGCCCTGGGGGAAAAGAGGGAGGTGGGAAAAGAGGGAGGCAGCAGGAAGGAACTGACCAAGCCACTTCCCTCCCAGTCCAGCTCTGGCTGTGTTCCCTGCACTTGACACCTGAGGGAGGGTGTGGGGCAGTGTCTGGGGGCCTCCCAGAAGCTGGGAGCCCTCCAGGGATGCTTTGAGAGCCAGAGGGGGAGGGGAAGGACAAGAGCCTCCCTGAACATGCCCACAGCTCCTGGGGCTGGAGAGCCCAGCCATACTGGGTCTTGTCCCCTTGAGGCTCCTTAAAAGGCAACATTGGAGGCGGGAGCCTCGGGCAGGCTCAGAAGGACGAAGTTCAGCATCTTGTCATAGCAGAGTTATGAGCTTGGAAAAGCACTGTAGAATTCACAGAATTCAGCTGTTCAGTTGACACCTATTAGAGACCTACTATGTGCCCAGAGTGGTGCTGGGTCAAGGAGATGCAGCCAGTATGCAGCAGACATTTCTTGTCCCTGCACAGGAGCCTCTAATGGTGACACAAATAATAAACCTGTCATTACAACCTATTCCAGGTGTGATGGGGGGACAGAGGTCCACAGGGGATCCTAGTTCTGAGTGGGATGGGGGCGAGGGAAGGCCACTCAGGAAGGGACGTTTAGGCAGATACCAGGGAGATGAGAGCATGAGTGGCCCAGGCCCAGGAGGAGGGAACAAGGGGGGGTGATGGCTGGTGGAAAGGCCAGGAGGTGGGACCAAGCTCATTGCAGCTGGAGCTGTGAAATGGGGAGAGACGCCTGGGGAGGTGCAGGCCACGTCCCCTGGGTCTCATAAGCTGTGCCTAGGATGTTGCATTTTGTTCTAAGTGCCGTGGGAAGCCACTTAGGGAGGACACAAACTGATGTGTGTTGCTCACAGAGCTCATTGGCTTTAAGAGTGGGATGTGTGTCCTGGGGGAAGGGAATTATAAAGTGCTGGAGAGCCTGGTAAGGAAGCCACTGCTATGGTCCAGGGACCAGAGTAGGGTGATGGTGATGGAGGGGTAGGAGGCAAGCGGATTCTGAGTCTTTCACGATGCAGGGTCTGCTAATAGGGGAGGTATGTGGCAGAAAGTAATCTTCAACATGATGTGGGTGGTGGGGGCTGGGGTGAGTAACGGCGGAGACGTCATGGACCACACGGAGTTCTGGCTTGAACAGCCCAGTAGATAAGGTGCTGTTGTCTGAGTTGAGGATGTTGTTAGGGGGAGGAACAGGTTTGGGGGAGATAGTTTAGCCATTTTGAGATGCCATTCACATACCCAGAGGAGATGTCAGAAGGCCAGTTGGATCTGAGTCCGAAACTCAAGGGGGCGGGGAGTCGGGGTTCCTGTACTGAGAACAATAATAGGAGATGACAATTTCTGAGCACATAACATGGGTCAGGCCTTGGGCTGAATACTTTGCAAGTTTGCCTTTTAATCCCTGGAAGTCGGTACTATTATTATCCTCATTTTACAGATGACATTGAGGGAGAGTTTTAAATAGCTTACCTAAGGTCACACGGGCTTCCCTGGTGACTCAGTGGTAAAAAATCTGCCTGCCAATGCAGGAGATGTGGGTTCGATCCCTGGGTCGGGAAGATCCCCTGGAGAAGGAAATGGCAACCCACTCCAGTGCTCTTACCTGGAGATCCCATGGACGGAGGAGCCTGGAGGGCTGCAGTCTGCTGCTGCGTAGCTGCTTCAGTCGTCTCTGACTCTGTGCGACCCTGTAGGCTGTAGCCCACCAGGCTCCTCTGTCCATGGGATGCTCCAGGCAAGAGTACTGGAGCGGGTTGCCATGTCCTCCTCCAGGGGGTCTTCCCAACCCAGGGATTGAACCATGTCTCCCACATTGCAGGGGGATATTTTTTTACCACTGAGCCACCAGGGAAGCTCCGGGCTACAGTGTATGGGATCACAAAGAGTCGGATACGATGCAGCAACTAAACGGCAAACAACAGAAGGGTCACTAGTCAGCTAAAATCAGAACCCTCAATTCGATTCGGAATCCATGGTCTTAATCATTTCACTATATTGCCCCATTCATTCATTCATTCATTCAACAAATATTTGTTAGGTCCCTACTACATGTTAGAGTTTGTTTTGGGGCACTGATGATATCAAACAATACCCGCCCTCGAGGACATTAGATCCTATGAGGAAATAGGTATAAACAATATAAATAGCTAAAGATATAATACGTCAGATAGTGATGACAGGCTGAGGAGAAAATAAAACAGGGAAGCAGGGTAGGAAGGGTGGAGGATGCTGAGATAGGGTGTTCAGGGCAAGCTGCCCTGAGAAGGTGACATTTGAATAAGGACTTGGAAGAAGTGAGACGGAGCCATGAGGATGCTTCCTCCTAGAAAGAAGAGCTCAAAGGCCCAGGGGCAGGAGCACAACTCATGTCAATGGTCAGGGGACCGGCCTGGTTGGGGCCTTAGGAACCAGGTCTTAGAGGAGGGGGCCAGAGAGAGGACAGATCGTGCAGGGCCTTGTTGGCATGGAAGGACTTGTTTGGCTCTTATTCTGTCATGTGAAGCCAATGGCGAGTTTTAGGCAGGGGAATGGCATGATATGATTTGGGTTTAACAGGATCACTGTGGTGGCTGTGTTAAAAATATACTGAAGGAGTGGGGCCCAGGGCTGAATAGCGGAGAACAGTGAGGAGGCTGCAGCCTAATCCATGATTAGGACCATGGTGGTTGCAGGAAAGAATGAGACGCGGTTTGGATTCTGGATGTGTTTTTAAGGTAAAGTCAACAGATCTGCCAATGAATCAGGTCAGCACGTGAGAGAAAGAGTCAAGGGTGCCTCCCAGGCTTTTGGCCTGCGCTCCAGGAAGGATGGAGTGGCTGTTTTCGAGGACTGTGGCAGGCGCAGGCCTGGGAGTAGGGGAGAGCAGGAGTTCTGTTTGAGATGTGAGGAGTGTAACCTGTAGACACCCCGGAGGTGAGGCTGTGTAGCAGTCAAGATCCTAGAATCTGAAGTTCAGGAAGAGACCTGCGAAGCAGATGTAAACTTGAGAATCATGAACTTGAAATTGACATTTAAAGCCACCAGGCTGCATGGGATCACCTCTCGTAGGTGCTGATGTGGAATTTCAGGCCCACATGTTGAACTCCAAGGCCTCCTCCCTTCCATGGATGCCCAGCCCTACCTCACTTCTTCCTTCCCTCCTGTTTTTCCAGTACCTGCCATGAGAAAGAGCAGTGGGAGTGTGACCAGGAACCATGTCTGGTGGACGAAGACATGATTAAGGCCATCAACCAAGGCAACTATGGGTGAGAGGCCCGAAGCAGGCACACATGCACGTGCATGCACATACAGATGTACTTTCTGCCCGAGAGGCGTGTCCTGCCAGGGGCACCCACACTCAGATCTTATTCATTTGTGCACTCAGCCAGTAGGCGTCTCTCCCACTCACATGCATATTCCTCCAGGACCCTCAGCCTTGGCAGATCTGTGACCTCCATCCCCTCTCTTTCAGCTGGCGGGCTGGAAACCACAGTGCCTTCTGGGGCATGACCCTGGATGAGGGCATTCGCTACCGCCTAGGCACTGTCCGCCCATCTTCCTCCGTCACCAACATGAATGAGATTCATGTAAGTTCACCCCTGCCTACAATCCTGCCATCTCCCCTTGGCCTATGACCCGAGGGATCCTGGCACCTTGTGCCCTGTTTCTCCAAGGGCCTAGGCCTGTCCCCCACCGATAGGCTGTGTGTTGCGGGCAAGTGACTCCCCTTTTCTAGGTCTTAAGTTTCTGCCTATAACTCGATAGACTGCACTGCAAGAACTGGTGCTCAGATTCGGAGTTTTGTGGTCCTAGCATCTCACCCTCCCTGGCTTCCCGAGCCTCCCCAGCTTGGGAAAAAATGTCATTGGTCCCAGTATGGCGGGGTCAGGGCCCCAAAGGGCCAGAAGGTCACCTTGGTATTTTGGGAAGGAAGGGACAGGCACTCCCCCAGTTTTGGCCAGAGAGCAGCAATTCTCGGAAACAAATGCCATCTCAGCAGAACCTCAAGGGAGGAGGGGGTTTCTCCCTTCCCGCTAGTGGGACCCTCTAGAGGTAGGAATGGGAACCAGACCCAGGACAGTTCCAAGGGTGAGGAAGGGGAGCTTCAGTGGGACAGGGCTGGCCACTTGCCGAAGGCTCTGTCCGTCAGTGGCGGGCAAGGAGGGGCTGGTGTCTGGCTGGAGCGGCCCGCCCTGCAGAGGGAGTTCAGCTCAAGGCTGGGGTGACCAGACCCTGCCCCTGCCCTTATTCCTTGGGGCCTCTGGCTATTTTCTGCCTCCTGCTGTTTGCTTTGGCAGCCTGCCCAGTCACGGGACCTTACAGCTTCTTTCCTCCCCTGCCCTTTGGGGCCCGAATCCCAAGGTCCTGGTGGAAAGAAGGATGTAAGTGGATCAGAAGGTGCAGAGGAGGAAAGAAGCCGGAATAGAAAGCGACCCGGTCACTTCCCTGTTCCTAGCTTCAGCTGCCTCACCTGTAAACAGGACTAGTCACCCCCCACCTGACACTAGGAGGCGCTAAATGGTGCCTGGGTCTCCCTCTGGGCCAAGGTGGAGGTTGCTGGAATCTCTCAGATCAAATCTCTCACGTCTTGGCGGGCTCAAGATCAAATTGCCAAAGGCTCTGGACACTTGGGAGACCTCCCATGCCTAGGGCCCCGGAGGGGCAGGCTGGGGCAGAGGCAGGAGACAGACAAGAGTGGCCTTTGCCTTGCAGACAGTGCTGGGTCCAGGGGAGGTGCTGCCCAGAACCTTCGAGGCCTCTGAGAAGTGGCCCAACCTGATCCACGACCCTCTGGACCAGGGCAATTGTGCAGGCTCCTGGGCCTTCTCCACAGCAGGTAGGTTCAAGGGCAGGGGCTGGCCAGGTGGGAAAGGAGGGCCAAGGCCTGAGCCCCCTGACAGCCCCTCTACCTCTCTTACCAGCTGTGGCATCCGATCGAGTCTCAATCCATTCTCTGGGGCACATGACACCCGTCCTGTCGCCCCAGAACCTGCTGTCTTGTGACACGCACAACCAGCAGGGTTGCCGTGGTGGGCGACTGGATGGTGCCTGGTGGTTCCTGCGCCGTCGAGGGTGAGCAGCAGGGGGCACGGACAGGGAAGAGGGCGTAAGGCAGGGGTCTCAGGAAGCAAGAGCCTGCAGGAAGGGCCTGGGCCAGGCTGCCCCATGCTCACTCTGTCCCCGCTCCCTCCCGCTGCCCCTGCAGGGTTGTGTCTGACCACTGCTACCCAGTCTCCGGCCATGGGCGGGACGAGGCTGTCCCCGCACCCCCCTGCATGATGCACAGTCGGGCCATGGGTCGGGGCAAACGCCAGGCCACCGCGCGCTGCCCCAATAGCTATGTCCATGCCAATGACATCTACCAGGTCACTCCTGCCTACCGCCTCGGCTCCAACGTAAGTGTGCACTTGAGTGAGGGGCACAGGCAGGAGAGAGCTGGAAGCCTGACCAAAGGCTGGAGGCTCATGACTGATGGATCCTCTCCTCCCCACCCCCTCACCCTCCAGGAGAAGGAGATCATGAAGGAGCTGATGGAGAATGGTCCTGTCCAAGGTAAATGCCCCCCATCCTGCCCCGTGATGCCCGAAGCTGTGCCTGCTTGAGACTGGGCACCGCGGCACAGGTGGTCCCTATCACCCTGAGCAGCAAGTCCACTGCGGCCAGGAGTGGGGGACTGTGTGCTCTCTTCAGGAGCAGCACCTGGAGGGGGCACTTAGAGCCTTGGTATGAGAGGGTCTGGGACCTGGGCATGTATCTCCAGCCTTGGGCATCACTGCCTGTGCTGATGGGCTGAGCCACCTCCTCTGACCTCTGCCCACAGCCCTCATGGAGGTGCATGAGGACTTCTTCCTATATAAGAGCGGTATCTACAGCCACACACCAGTGAGCCTCGGGAGGCCGGAGCGATACCGCCGGCATGGGACCCATTCGGTCAAGATCACAGGGTAAGGGGCTTGGTGGGCAGGGGTCTGGGGGCAGCAGGGCTTGCCCTGGGGGCTCTAAACCTGCCTTGAATCCTTACCACCTCTCTGCAAAGCTCCATTTCAAAGAGGAGGAAACTGGGACTCAGAAAGAGGAGGTACTTGCCTCTGGGCACACCAAGAGTTAGGGGCCTTTCAAAGTGTTCTAGAACAGTTCCTTCCTTACACACCAGGAGAAATCACTCCAAATCAAATACAGACAAAGATTCAAGAGTTGCTCTACCTCTCCCCAGCTCAGCGCCTGTCCCAGCTTTGCCTGACTCACTGACTTATACCTCCAGCCCTCAGTTTCCCCCACTGATGTAACAGGAGATGCTAGAGTTATTGATTTCAATAGTCCAACCAATAAAATGTACTTTGTTCACCCCCCTCAACCAGCCAGGTAAGGATGGAGGGCAGGCAGAGGTGTGCCCTCCCCGCCATGTGGGTCTTTGGAAGGTGTAGGCTTTTCTGCTCACCCCCCCCACCCCCAGATGTCCCTTTGTGCCCCACGGGGGACCTAGAGATGTGGAGACTGAGGGAGGTGCAGAGAGGGACAGTGGCCGGCGGTGCTAAGACGCTGCAGTCTTGTCCGACTCTTTGCAACCCTATGGATGGTAGCCCACCAGGTTCCTCTGTCCCTGAGATTCTCCAGGCAAGAATACTGGACTGGGTAGCCATCCCCTTCTCCTGGGGATCTTCCCCACCCAGGGATTCTTTACCACTGGCGCCACCTGGTTAGCCTGGGGCAGAGAGGCACAGAGACCTGCCCAAGTCCTGAGGGGCGCCAAGTCACCAAAGGCAACAGGGGCCTGGCTAGGGAAGGCCGCAGCGGGGCGGGAGCTCCTCAAAGTAGGTGAATCAGCGCGCTTGTGGCTCTGGCTCTGCCCGGCAGGTGGGGCGAGGAGACGCTGCCCAACGGGAGGACCATCAAGTACTGGGTGAGTCCCGGCACCGCGCGCCCTGCGGCCGCTGTGACCTTCCCCCCGCCCTCCTGCCCTTCTCCCCCACCGCGATTCCCCTGCTCACGGCCCCCTCTGCGTTCCCAGACGGCGGCCAACTCGTGGGGCCCGGCCTGGGGCGAGAGGGGCCACTTTCGCATCGTGCGCGGTGCCAACGAGTGCGACATCGAGAGCTTCGTGCTGGGCGTCTGGGGCCGCGTGGGAATGGAGGACATGGGACACCACTGAGACCGCGGGCACCACACCGGGAAGAGCCCACCTCGTGGGGCGGCAGCCCCCCGCCCCGCCTGCCCGTCAGCTCGACGGGACTCCAGGCGCCAGGGGGCTAATCCCTGCGCGGTTCCGCTGACGCAGCGACCGGCCTGGGAGCCGCGGGCTGGCCAGAGCCCCCAGACCTCCCAGCGGGGCTGGGCAGGGGCTGGCCCGGGGGGAGCAAGACCCCCAAGCAAGATCACCGAAGCCAGGACACCCCGCCCCACCCCCAGTCTCCAGCCCACGACCTCACCCCACCCTTGTACTTTTATTCTTCAAAGATATTTATTTTTCTTTTCACTGTTTTAAAATTAAAAAAAAAAGTATTGATAACTATGGTATCTTGAAACTTCTGGGTGTGGAAATCCAGGCCAGAGTTGGAGTGGCATATGGGGGCACAGCAGAAAGGACTGCCTGAGGCTTTGCTGGTTGGCAGGGGTGGGGGTCGGGGGACCAGAAGTCTTAGCCTCCGTTCAGCCTGAATTGTCAGTGACCCTGGATACTGATCCATTGTGGGTGGGACATGGATGGCACGGCCTTTGGCCCCCAGAGAGATGCGCGCCCGTGGGAATCACCTCTCAGACGCTGAGTCAGCGCAGCCCGGGGTAGGGGGGAGTCCAACCCACCAATCAGCAGAGCTGGCGCCGGTGCCCAGCAGGCAAGGGGGGCATAGCCCCATAGAAGCTGGAGCCTGTGTCTCTGCAGATCAGCTTCTCCAAGCCACCCAGGCGAGGGGACACCCCCCCACCCCCACCCCTAGGCCAGGTTGGGCCTGCCTCTGTGAGCCCTCTCATGTCCCCAGGCTCTCAGGGCCAGCGGAATTAAGTCCAGGCCTCACTCTCATTCAAGGACCCACCCCACCAGCTTCCTCACCAGCTTCTTCACCCAGTGCCCAGACGACTCCAGAGTCCTCCCTGCTCCCTAATGTCGAGCACACAGGCAGACCACTGGGCATTTGCACATGCTGTTTTCTCTTGGTCCAGATGCAACTTCCATCCCACCTACCCCTGTTGCACTGCTGTTCCCAACCCAGCTCCAAGGTTTCTTCACTCAGACAGTACCAAGGGAGAGTAACGGATGTGCCAGGTGCTGTGCAAGGGAGCCATGGTTCCCCAAACCACCCCAACCCCTCTTAGCATGGCTTAGACACCCCCTCCCTGAACTCAACTGCACCCTGCCCTTTCACCAGTATTTCACTATCTTCCTTATGCTGGAAGTTCCTTGAGAAACAGAGACTGGGTCTGGTTCACCGATGAGTCCTTGTACCCATACCTGTACCCTGGATAAGGTGGCGCTGCAGTTTGTGGAATGGTTGAATAACACGACCCATTCTTTCCTTTCCATTCCCTTCCCAAGCCTCTAGGCACAGAAGTCAGTATGGAGCCCTGCCTTCCCAGAAGCTCAGGGAGGCTGTGCCTGGGGATGGTCCTCCCCTGACAGCAGTCCTCCTGGCCGCCCAGCTGAAGTCACTGGAGGAGGCAGTAGGGAGGTGTATCCCCTGGAGGGCAGCCCCTCAGTGCCAGCCACGTCCCCCAGGCCGCCTGGGCATCACCTGAAAGGAATGCGGGGCGACCGATAAGCAGCTGCCTTTGTTTCGTTTCCTGTTTGCTAGGACGTCCCGAGCCCGGCTCCCCTGGCCAGCCTGCTTGTCCCCAAGGAGCCAAGGCCGGCCAGAGCCCTGGGGACAACGACGGGAAGGGAGTCCTGAGCAGGGCTGCCCGATTACTACCCCCTCTGTGGCCGCCAGACACGCCTCACAGCTCCCACCCCACTGGAAAAACCCCGGTCCAGGGGCGCGGCTGGAATTTTTCTACAAGGACCTTTGGCGGAAGCGGTGGGGGTTGGGAAAGGGAGGGGAGCAGGGGTGAGGCTGAGTCTCCAGGCTCTAGCTTTGTCTGCCCGGCTGGGAGGCCTGACCCTGTGCGCCCAAGTAGGGTCAGCCCAGCCCATCCCTAGCCTCATGGACCAAGGAGCCCCAGGCCTGCGAGCCTCCCCCCAACCCCCCAAGAGTGCAAATGGGGCTGGGCAGGGCTGAGCGGGTCCCTCAGTAACCTCCACCAGCCACCTCTGTGTCTCTGATGTTGGCAATGGACTTGTAGGCATTGTGTTTTAAATCTTCTCCACTGGCAGCTCTCAGGACTCAGACACTGGGTTTGTATTTATTTTATATTTTTATTTATTTTTTAATTTGGCTGCACCACAATGCATGTGGGATCTTAGTTCCCTGACCAGGGATAGCACCTGCAGTGCCTACATTGGAAGTGTGGAGTCTTAACCACTGGACCACCCAGGAAGTCAATGGACTTGTGGTTGTAAAGACGGAGGCAAACCAAGGGCTTCCAACCAGATTACTGCCCTTGAGTCTGTCCATAAAGAAATCCTGGCACCCCAGCACTCTGCTCTGTGTTCTGAGGCTAGTCCCTTACCCTCTCTGGGCCATGGGCATGAGTGCTTAGACAAACCTGGGTTTGAATCCCTGCTCTGCTTGTTCTGCACTGGCTATGTAATCTTGACCTTTCAGAGCCGCTGTTTTTCTATCTTTTGTTATTGTTCAGTCACTCAGTTTTGTCCGACTCTTTGTGACCCCATGGACTGCAGCATGCCAGGCTTCCCTGTCCTTCACTATCTCCCGGTGTTTGCTCAAACTCATGTCCATTGAGTCGATGATGCCATCCAACCAACTCATCCTCTGTTGCCCCTTTCTCCTCCTTCCTTCAGTCTTTCTCAGTATCAGGGTCTTCTCAATGAGTTGGCTCTTCACATCAGTTGGCTAAAGTATTGGAGCTTCAGCATCAGTCCTCCCAAGGAATATTCAGGGTTGATTTCCTTTAGGATTGATTAATTTGATCTTCTTGCTGTCCAAGGGACTTTCGAGAGTCTTCTCCAGCACCACAGTTCGAAAGCATCAATTCTTCAGGGCTCAGCCTTCTTTATTGTCCAACTCTCATAACCATACATGACTACTTGAAAAACCATAGCTTTGACTATGTGGAACCTTGTTGGCAGAGTGATGTCTCTGCTAATGTGCTGTCTTGCTTTCTATCTTTAATGGGGATAATGGTACTCACCTCCTGGAGTTGTTGGGAGAATTAAAAGAGACAAAACATGCTAAACATTTAACAGCATACTTGGAAAGTATTAAATGGTAACAGCTCTAATCTTTTAAAGGGGGTTGGACTTGATAATGTAAAAGCTTTTCGTAATGAGCTAAACATTTTTTAGTGCTTAACCATAGCCTCTGACAGCATGTTGTTCTGAGTGTTTTGCATATATTATCTCATTTAATGGACAGGAAAGCCTCGCAGGCTACAGTCCATGGGGCTGCAAACAGTTGGACACAATTTAGCGACTGAACAATAATGACAACAACATCTCATTTAATACTAAAAATAAACTTCTATTTCCTTATTTTGCACATAGTTGAGGCAGGATTAAACTCAGGCTGTCTAAATTCTCATGCTAATTAGCTCTGTACTAATAGTGGTTGTTTGGTAGTGTTAATCCAGTTTCCCTATGTCCTTTCCCTGGGTGACAAACTCTTAGTCATCCTTCAACACCCAGCTCAAACATCCCTCCTCTGGAAAGCTTTTCCTAGTATCCATCTTCTAGACCTCAGAGACTAGCGTGCATCCCTGGTGCGTGTGTGTGTCTCAGTTGTTCTGTCATGTTTGACTCTTCACGACCCCCTGGACTGTAGCTCGTCAAGCTCCTCTGTCTGTGGGATTTTCTGGGCAAGAATACTAGAGTGCGTTGCCACTTCCTCCTCCAGGGAATCTTCCCGACCCAGGGATTGAACCCATGTCACCTGTGTCTCCTGCAATGGCAGGTGGATTCTTTACCACTGATCCACCTGGAAAGTCCAAATCCCTAGTACAGAGGGGCAGCTTTTTCTCCCACAAATCATTGTGGAAGAGTTTTTTTTTTTCTCCCCCCTTAGTCCCGTCTTTCCTAATGTTCCTCTTGGGAATTCATTCTGGTCTCCTGTGGTGCTCCGCGGGGTCCCAAGGCACCTGACTTTCGTTTTCTGCGAGCTGCTGAGTTACATCCCTTCACTAGTGCCGATGCCTCACATCTCCCTGGTATCTTGCCAAACCCTATCCTTGCCTGGTGCCCATTAAGGGAAAGGAATCCATGCCCCTGAGCCTGCAGTGCACCAGGCCTTGGGCTGAGCGCTGCACACACTTCAGCTCATTTGATCCTACACACAACCCTGTGAGAAAGATATCTTTAGAAACCAAAGCTAACCAGTGAGGCAACTCTGGGAATCTAAGGGAGGAGTGAACTTCCAGATTGTGAGCAGGGCTAGTGAGCCCAAGCACGGCCAGAACTAGGAATCCAAGCCTCGCCAGGACTCACATTCTCTCTCTCCCTCTCTAGACTAACTCTGCTATTAGGAAGGACATTTGACCAATGACAATTCCTGAGCCTTTCACATTTTCACAGCTGTATTCTCAGTTCTGACTCAAAATAGAACAGAACAGGGAAGGCTTCTGATTGGCCCAGCTCTAATCTATAGCCAAAGGACAGGATCATAGATGCCATGGCCACTATGGATGAACCAGTGTTTGGAGGAGGAGACCCTAAAGAAGGGGAAGACTACTGTCCCATGGGAAAGGAGAGAGGCTGACCAGATGCCCAAAACAGTCTACAACAGCCAGGGGTTACTGTTACCATCATTGGACAGATAAGGAGATAGAGGCTTAGGGGAATGTGGGATTGGTCAGGTCACTTAGCTGTTAAGTGGTGCCGCTGGATAAAACCCACATTGCCTACCACTCGATTTATAGATCAACCCAAAGAGATGACTTTGTAGGTCAAAGAGTGATAATTCCTTCCCCAGCTTCTCCCTGAGGACTCATTCCTGAGCCTTGAGAGATAACTTGTCTAGAATTCCATCAATTTCATGAAAATTCTGTGGCTCTGACACTAACACCCAGGGTAGTTTTCCCAAAGTAAAGCAAGACTGAGTCTGAGCAGGCCTTCCAGGAGAGCATCCTGCTTCCTGATCCCGGGGAAACAGTGTGGTCCCCATCAGGGGATGTGATGAGATGGTTGAACAGGAGCTGTTTGCTGGGAGACCAGAGGTATGAGTGAATGAATGGATTCATGCAGGCAGGGCCCAGGGGCATGGTCAAGTTGACCACAGGGCCCCCTGCTGGCTGAATCCACACCCGCCACAGCCCGGAGAAGTGAAGAGCATGGATCTGGGTGACTCTCAGAACTAAGCAGTTGTCCACCTGCACATTCCACAGACATTCCCTGGGTGAGTCCTCATAACTTTGTGAAGCCTGGAGACCAGCCTGAGAAGACAAACAGATGGGGGACAGAACAGGGAATACATCTCAGTCTGTTGGAATCCAGGGCCCCCTCACGCTGTGCCTCTCACCCAGATGTCATGACCCAGCTTGATCAGGATAAGGCTTTGAGGTTCCCCTCATCTGGGGCTCTGTCCTCCACTCAGGTTCCCTTTCCTCACCTCAACACACACAACTTCCTCTGGAAAACCTATAATTCTGAGCCCTCTAATTTGACCCAGGCTCAAAGCCCAGCTCTACTGCACTCCTCAAAGCTTGCTTTCCACTCTGAGCCTTGGTTTCCTAGTCTGTAAAATGGGAACAGTGATCTCTACTGTCTCTGTGGGGGAGCTGGCCAAGAATGAATATTTCCCTGAGAATGAGGAAATGAGGGAAACAAGTTGGGCCCCCTGAGAGTCAGACTGGAGAAATTGGTACCTAATGAATCAGCAGAGATATACAAAGTCACCATAAAGGGCCAGGCTGGCCCTGGGTCCTGCAAAATCTGACAGTCACTTGGTGAAGTATTGACCACTCTAAAGCATCATCAGACAAAGGTGAGTCCCCATGATTCTGAGAAACTGAGACTGTCCAGGAAGAGGCCACTCTAGCTGTCAGAACAGTGGCCAAGCTGAACCTGTGTGAAGATGGATAAAATGGGTGTTATTGATGGGTTTTGCGTAGCTCCTTCCCCTGAGATAGGGTGGTACTCTGGAGATTTGGATGTAGGGGTGGTCTTAGACTGGGACCGGTAACCCAGGGTCTCAGCCTCAAATGCCTTTGGGTCTAAGCAGATACACGAGTGAGCTAGGAGTGTCAGAACAGGGAGTCATGGGGCCTGTGTCCAGCACGTATTCGAGAGTTCACACTTGCCTAAAGGCATTCAGAATCAATGACTTTTAAACACATGATGCCAGCCTGCATTGCTCAGGGTCCCAACAGGAAACAGATGGCGTGTTCTAATTAAAAGAACTTGGGCAGAGTTTATTTTCAAAAGGACTCATGACAAAGTAGGGTGTGGGGGAGTCATAGGAGAAATTGCAGGGCTCTGAGGCTAGCCATAGAATAGTTTTCATTCCCCTAGGTCAGCAGGGTCAAAGAGAGGGAGATGAGACCAGGTTCTGATGGAGAGATTATGTAGAGCAGAGGTGATCTCACAGTGAGGAGGCAGAGGAATAACGCCAGCCTCACTCTTTCTGCTCCCTCCTCTCCTGCTGGCTCCTCATTCACCAAACCCCACAGGAACCGTGGCTGTGGACTTTCACATGGACATGAAATACACTTCTATCTTATTTAAACCACTGTTTTTAGGGTCGTTTGTAACAGCAGTCTAGCCCTAACCAGCACACACATAAAAGGAAACATCTGCCAAGAAGATCTAATAATCATGAACTTACATGGATCATAAACTCATATTTATTTTGGTGAAGCATATAAAGCAAATCTGGCAGAAACACAAGGAGAAAGCCAGGAACCTATAAACAAAGTGGGAAATTTTCTGTTACAAAAGGGGAAATTCTAATTAAAGTTTCTTAAAACCAGAAGATCAAATAGCAAAACGTTAGGAAGTATACAGAAATTAGGACAATGTAATTAAGAACTTCATCTGCTGGATAAACATAAACTTTACTCCTCCTTACACAAAGAATACCCATTGTTTTCAAGCTCACATGGAACATTTTTAAAAATACCACATTTGTGGCCATAAAGGAAGTCTAAAATTTCTTTTCAAGAATCGATGTCAGTCACGTTCTATAGCCCCAATATGATAAAATTAGAAACCAACAATAAAAAGTTGGCCAAGGAAATACAATATATTTGTTAACCTAGAAGCACATTTTAAATAATAATCTCTATATGCAATGAGAACATTATAATGAAAATTACAAGATATTTAAAACTGAGTAACAATAAGTAAAGTGAAACTTGAAAGGAAAATTATAGCTTTAAATGCATTTATTAAAAACAGAAAAGACTGGCAACAAATGAATTAAACATCCAACCCATGATTTTAGGAGAGACCATCAGAAAACTCAAAAAGAATGGAAAAAAAGGATGTAATAAAGCAGGAATTAATAATATGGAAAACAACAAAACGTTGAACTATTTCTTTAAAAGCCTTAATAAAATAAATTATGAGCACAAAATACACAATATTGGGAATGAAAAGAAGGCTATGACCAGAGATGCAATGAAAGTTAAAAAAAAAATCACTAAAAAACACCATGAGGACCTAGTGTTCTGGCATGATAAAAGATCAAGATAACATGAAAAATCCAGGAAGTAAACTCAAAAGGATGAAGTAAATTACAAAAAATGGGGAGCAAAAAGCCCAAAAAAGATTAAATGTGGGAAACTCAAACAAGCAGGGACTTAATAAAAATGATTTTATTTTTAATTAATCCAAAATAATTTTAGCTGATTTGGGGGATAAAATAAACAAGATAGGCTAAAAACTGGAAAACAATCAAATTATAGACAGGAAACTATGATCAGAGTTCTAAAGTATTCTAAGGTCCTTTGGCTTAGTTGCCCAGTCCTGTCTGACTCTTTGCAACCCGATGGACTGTAGCCCACCAGGCTACACACTAGGTCATGAAGCAAGTCTGCCCACAGAGTGAAGAACTGATATTGTATAGGTCATCTTCTATGATTACAATAAAATGAAATGAGAAAATCATTACAAAAAGCTAACACTAAGTTTGAAAAGAAAGATCTTACCTCCAAATACTTAACAGGATAAAGAAAAAATACAAAATTAGGAATTGGTTGACAATGAAAGCATTGCATTTTTTAAAATTTAATATTTTAATTAATTTGTTTTTATTTTGAACTGTTCTGGGTCTTCATTGCTGTGTGGGCTTTTCTCCAGCTGTGGTGAGTGGGGGCTCTAGTTGCAGTGTGAAGGCTTCTCATCGCGGTGGCTTCTTTTGTCGCAGGGCACAGGATCTCGGGCATGTGGCCTTCAGTAGCTGGGGCACGTGGACGGGGTAGTTGTGGTTCCTGGGCTCTAGAGCACAGGCTCAGTAGTTGTGGGGCATGAGCTTAGTTGCTCGGTGGCGTGTGGGATCCTCCCTGACCAGGGATCAAACCCGTGTCTCCAGCATTGGCAGGCGGATTCTCTACCACTGAGCCACCAGGTAAGCCCAAAAGCATTACATTTTGAAATTTGAATACAACTAAAGCAATTCTGAGGGCATGCATATTCTTAAATAAATTAAGGAGTTCACATTAATAAAGATTTCATATTAATGAGTTGAGCATCCAACTTAGGAAATCAGAAAGAAAAAAACAACATAATAACACCGTTCTCGAGCGTACCCAACAGCGGACTCCGAGAGGCCAGAGGGCCTGGAAGCGGCAGCACTCGCTCTCAACCACCATTCTCGGAACCGTGGCGGCAGTGGCGGCAGCGTCGGCTGAATTGCTCATCATCGGCTGGTACATTTTCCGCGTGTTGCTGCAGGCGTTCAGGTACTGCCTGCAGAAGCTGGCATACACGATGTCGAGAACCGGACGGCACGTGCCGGGAGAGCGCCGCCAGCGGGCCGCCGTCTGAGGCCCCAGCCCCCGTCCCTGGGCGGCCGTGTCCCCAGGCGCCCCTGCGCCATCCCACCCGCCCGGGAGCCGGCGCCGCGCAGGAATGGGGCGTCCCCTGTGCCCTCTCGCCAGAGGAGCGCTTGCCAAGGTCAGTGAGGGGGACGGCGGCACCGGGGGAGCAGACTCCTGAGATCTGGGCACAGGCAACGCATTCAGATCTGGACCAAGTGGGGACAGCGCCATCCCAGCCCCGCAGCCATGGCCATGCCAGCAGGCCGCACCACCACACCAGCCAGCAGAATGGACATTCCAGCGCCACCAGCCACAGCCCTGAATCTCGGTGCAGCAGACAGGCGACAACTACGTGCCTGTGTGGCAGGACTGGAGGGCAGAGGGTGAGGGAGGAGGGTTAAGAGACAGAGCAGGGCCCTCACTGTCCTTTGCCTACGGCGGGTGCATTCCAGCCTTGCTGCCTTTGCTCCCTCGATTCCCCTTTCTTTCTCATTGCCACCCCAGAGAAATGTGTCACTCAATTTGGACCTCCTGAACAAGAAAACGGATCCCATCTTTATAAAAACACCTTCACTGATCCTGAATCCCCCAGGTCTCATGGAATTGTGAAAAAAGTACCTCCCCCGTCTCACACAGTGCCCCAGGACCCTGCGGGGCGGTGGAGGCGCACCAAAAAAAGAAAAATAACACCCTTCTCAAATAGCAGAAAATAGTAAAGATGAGAGAAAAGTCAGTATCAAGAACAGAAAGAAACAATATAGATCAGTTTAAAAAGTGTCTTGTAAAATAGATACATTTCTCGCAAGGCTGATTAAAGAAGGCCCAAATAAATAATGAACAGAGGGAATTAACTATAGAAAGATTTTTTTAAACCATAATAAACAACTTTCTGCAAATAACTTTGAAAATGTAGATGTAATAGATGTGTCTTTAAAATACAACTTCAAAACTGATTTAAGAAATGGAAATGAGGAATAAATGATAACATTAAAGAAATGATTGTTCAGATTGCTTTTTTTTAATCTTTTAAATCGCTCCTGCATGTGTGTTTATCATATCCTTTCCATTCTTAATATGTACTTATTTTTGCCTTTCCTTTTAAAATATAAAAGGACTATTTTATTGAGATTTTCAAAAAACCAGCTTTGGGTTTCATTAATCCTCTCAATTGTGTCTTTGTTTTCTATTTTAGTAAGTTTTAGTCTTATATTCATGATTTCCTTTGTTCTACTTTCACTGGGTTTATTCTATTTTTTTTTTCCTTAAGCTAAAACAAGATAGAATTTTCAACATCTCAGTCAGTAATCACCCCCAACATCCTGGAGGTAAAATTATTCTGACTTCTATCAGAATTAATTTTGCTTTTGGACTTCATGCAAATCTAACTAGAGAGTATTTACTCTTTCTGACTTCTTTCATTCAACATTCTGTCTGTGAGGTTTGTTCGTGTCATTGCTTGTTAAATAGTGATTTGTGTATGATTTATTTGGGGGTGTAGCATCCCATTGTGGGCTTCCGTGGTAGCTCAGCTGGTAAAGAATCCACCTGCAGTGCAGGAGACGCCAGTTGGATTCCTGGGTCAGGACGATCCCCTAGAGAAGGGATCACTACCCACTCCAGTATTCATGGGCTTCCTTGGTGGCTCAGATGGTAAAGAATCTGCCTGCAATGTGGGAGATCTGGGTTTGATCCCTGGGTTGGGAAGATCCTCTGAAGGAGGGCATGGCAACCCACTCCAGGATTCTTGCCTGGTGAATTCCCGTGGACAGAAGAGCCTGGCAGGCTGTAGTCCATGGAATTGTAAAGGGTCAGACACAACTGAGTGACTGAGCACAGCACAGCATCCCATTGTATAAATATAATACAACTTATTTCTCTATTCAACTGTTAATGAACATTTGGGTTGTTCCCATAAATGTGTTTTAAAATTTCCAAGCATGTGGGAATTGTTTATCATTATCAGTCATTAACTTAATTGCATTTTGGTCAGAGAATATGGTGCATATGACTGATTCTTGACAATAAGACTTGCTTTATGGCCTGGTATGTGGCAAATGTTTGCAAATGTTTTATGCATGCTTGGTAACATAAGTGTTGGGTGTTGGAGTCACTTTGGGTCAATAAATCAAGCTAGTTAGTTGTGTTACTTAGATCTTCTATTACTTTACCAATTTTTTTTCTGATTAGAAATGTCAGTCAATAATGGAGAAAAGTGTTTTGAACTATCCAACTTCAAACTGTGTACTGTTGGTCTACTATTATTACTAATGTATTTGACTTGTCTCTACCATTTTACCATTTGATTTTTATTTATCCCACTTTTGCTGTTTTTGTTTGTCTGTTTATTTGTTCTCTATTCTTACCTTTTTAAGAATAGACTAAATTTCTGTTTTCTACATCTTTACTCAATCCCTTAATGTTTTGGACATCATATTTTACATCTTTTTGTCTTGTATATCCCTTAAGTATTTATTGTGAATATAGTTTTACTATTTTTGTCTTTTAACTTTCCTACTAGCTTTAATAATAGTTGATCTACTACCTTTACTGTATGATTGCCTTTACCAATGAAAATTTTCCTTTTGTAATTTTCATATTTCTAGTTGTGGTCTTTTCTTTTTTACCTACAGAAGTCCCTATAACATTTCTTATAAGGCCAGTTTTACAAGTGGTGTTGAACTCCCAGTTTTTGCTTTGTCTATAAAACTCTTTAACTCTCTTTCATATCCGAATGAAAGATTTTCTGGGTATAATATTCTTGCTTTCACTATTTTAAATATTTCACCATTCTGTTCCCTCTGCTAAAAAAACCAACTGATAGCCTATGGGAGTTACCTTGCTGCTTTCTCCCTTCATCTTTAATTTCTGCCATTTTAATGACAATGTGTCTTGGTGTGAATTTCTTTGGGTTCAACTTGTTTGTGACTCTGTGCTTCCTGGATCTGGATGTCTGTTCTCCTTCCCAGGTTAGAAAACTTTCAGCTATTGTTTCTTCAGATAAGTTCTTGTCTCTTTCTCTTTTCCATCTGGGACCCCTATGATGCAAATGTTCACATGCTTGATGTTGTCTCAGAGTTCTTTTAAATTATCCTCATTAAAAATTTCTTTTTTTTTTTCCATTCAGCTTCAGTGATTCCCACTACTGTCTTTTAGTTCATTGATCTGTTCTTCTGTATCATCTAGTCTACAGTTGATTCCTTCCATTGTATTTTTCATCTCAGTTATTGTATTCTTCAGCTCTGTTTAGTTCTTTTCTATATCTTTAAACTCTTTGTTAAAATTCTCACCGTGTTCATCCATTCTTCCCCTGAATTTATTGAGCATCTTTATGATCATTATCTTGAACTCTTTTTTGGGTAGATTGCTTATCTTCCCTTTGCCTAGCTCTTCTTCTGGGGTTTTATCTTGTTCTTGCCTTTGGAATATACGTCTCTGTTGCCTCATTTTGCCTGATTCTCTGTTTTTATTTCTGTGTATTTAGTAGTTCACCTACATTTCTTGATTTTGGAGAAATGGTCTTATGTAGGAGAAGCATCCTATGGGGCCCCGTAACACACTTTCCCTTGGGCATTCAAGCTATGTGCTCTACATGGGCACTTCTGTTGTAGTGGGACGGATTACTGTGGGCACACTGGTAGTTGACCCTGGCCCAGCTGGCTACCAGGCCCTGCCTAGTGTGAAGGTTGCTGGTCCACCAGTGGCGGAGTTGCATCCTGGTGATAATAAACTAGAGGGAGGATTCAAAAACGGTGCTTGCCAGCACCAGTGTCCTGGTGGTACAACAAGTTCCCCAAAATGACTGCTGCCAGTGTCTGTGTCCTCGAGGGGGTCCTAGCTGCCTCCCAGGAGGCTCTCCAAGATCAGCAAGCGGGTCCAATCTAGGTTCCTTTCAAATTCCTGCCTCTGTCCTGGGTCTCAGGCATGTGAGATTTTGTGTGAACCCTTTAAGAGTGCTTCCCTAGTGGCTGAGACAGTAAAGAATCTGCCTGCAATATGGGAAACCCAGGTTCGATCCCTGGATTGGGAAGATCCCCTGGAGAAGGAAATGGCAACCTACTACAGTATTCTTGCCTGGGAAATCCCAGGGACAGAGGAGCCTGCTGGGCCTCAGTCCGTAGGGTCGCAAAAAGTGTGGCACTACTGAGCAACTAACACTTTTAGAGTGTAGTTTCTATTTCCTATAAGCTCTCCTGTACACAAGACCCGCTAGCCTTCAAAAGTCAGATGTTCTAGGGGCTCATCTTCCTGGTGAGAACACTGGGCTAGGGAGCCCAATCTGGGGCTTGAACCACTTGCTCCTTGGGAAAACCTCTGCAATTGCGATTACCCTCCTGTTTGTGGGTTGCCTAACCAGGAGTGGGGCGGAGGGTCTTGACTGTACATTGTGTCCACCCTTCCTGTGGTTCCTTCTTAACATCCTTAGGTGTGGAAAATCTTTTCTGCCAGTCTTCAGGTTGTTCTCATAGATAGTTGCTCTGTACAGAGTTACAATTTGGGTGTGCCCATGGAAGGAAGTGAGCTCAGGGTCTTCCTCCTCCACCATCTTGGCCACACCCTGAATTTCTGTTTCCTTACTCGACATTTTCCGTCTACTGGCCTGAAAATTAACTCATTTCTTTGAAGTCATTGACTCTATTTCTATTCTTAGAGTAGTTATTTTTAAATTTTTACCTTGCACATTTTACAAAGCCTGAATTTAATATTCCAAACAATGCAAGAAACTTGGAACACTCTAATTCCAATGACTGCGCCCTTCTTCCTTGCAATCAAGTTTCATTTCTATACTCTTTTTCTTTTAGCCCATGAATTTGCCATCATACTCATTATATTATACATTTGTTTACATTTATCCACATTTATCATTTTTTTCCCTCAACAATCTTCCTTGTGTCTCAGGTGTGTCTTCTTCCATCATTTTTCTTTTTTCTAGGGAACTCCCTGTTGGCCCAGTGGTTAGGGCTCAATGCTTTCATTGCTGTGGACCCAGGTATGATGCCTGGCTGGGGAACTAAGATCCTGCAAGCTATGTAGTATGGCCAAAAAAAAAAGTGCATACTTGGACATTCATATGTCTAATGCAGGTCTGTTGGTGGTGATTTTTTTAAGCTGTTTATTGTGAGATAATTGTATCTGGGAACTAGGGAGAGCTGCTGATCTGTAATCACTTTAATACGCTTCTGGGTCCCTGTTCAAACTGGAATCTCAGACTCAGATCCCTCAGGTGCTACTGGTCTCATATGTGCTCCTGACTGTGGTGCTAAATAGGCATTTACTCTTATGCATCACTCCTCCCTAAATATGTACCCCTCATAGATAACAATTGTGTTTTGTTTCATCTCCTTAGAGATTTCACTTCCTGGGAAATCGGT